ACTTTTTCCTAGCTAGTGAAATTTCTTTGAAACTGCGGAAACTAGAACACTTCTGGGTTAAAGTCATTTTCTCCTTGGCACCAAAAAGTACTTAAATTTCTTGAATGCTCTTCACCACCATTTTCTTCTGTCCTTATTTGAAGTTCTCTGGTTTTTCATTTTTCAAGGATGGAGAAGATGGCATTGAAACGAGCAAGCAGCAAGGCTAAAGTTATTGGCACCATTGTATCAATAACAGGTGCATTTGTAGTGACTCTCTACCAAGGACCACCAATTGTTCTAGAATCAACACCAACAAAATTATCTGGGAGTTTTGGTGCTCTTCAGTCTGGAAAATCAAATTGGGTTATTGGTGGCATTTTTCTGTCCGTAGAGTATATCCTGACTCCATTATGGTACATAGTTCAGGTGCAGTCCTTTAGACTCATAATTTTGAGTTCCTTCATCTTTTGATAAGAGTTGAGGAAATAACTCAAGTTTTTAATGTTTTGGCAGACACAAATCATAAAGGAGTATCCAGCAGAACTAACAGTAGTCTTCTTTTATAACTTATGTGTGAGCTTTATATCTGCAATTGTTGGTTTGTTCACGGAAAGAGACCCCAGTGCTTGGAGAATAAGGCCGGGTATAGCATTGGCCTCAATTTTGTGCTCGGTAAGTGACTAATAGTTCTGTACCAATATAGGCATTTTTGGTCAGGTAGTCTTATGGGAGAATTTTCTGAGTCTCTTTTGCTGTGTTGTGTGTTTAGGGAATGTTTGGCTCATGCTTGAATCTTACTGTACATACGTGGGCTTTGCACATGAAGGGACCAGTGTATGTAACAATGTTCAAGCCATTGTCAATTGCCATTGCTGTTGCAATGGGTGTTATGTTCCTGGGTGATACTCTCCATCTTGGAAGGTATAAAGCCATGGTTTATCCTGTTTTGGGGTTGTTCTTTATGATGGATGCGGTTAATTTGAAGCTTGATACATGCAAAGACAGAGATAGCTCTGATAAAAAGCAAAGTTCTCTTCTGTCTGTCTTCTGTCTTGTTTGTTTTCAGCTAGTTGTAGCTAATACTCTTGCATTTTGCAGTCTTATTGGAGCAATGATAATCTCGATTGGATTCTATACATTGATGTGGGGAAAAAGTAGGGAAGAGATGGATGAAGACTGCGGAGCGGGTAGCCTAGTGGCTCCCCCTTCCCACAAGGTGCCTTTGTTGCAAAGCTATAAAAATGAGCAGGTGTAGAGCAAATTCACGCTTATACATCGAAGACTTGTATATATTGCCTACTTCTCAGTTGCAATCCAAAAAGAACAAAAATCAGCTGTTAGAGCATAGAAGTCTATCTCATCTCATCTCATCTCAGTAGACTTGTATCATTTTCCGCCCTTAATTGACCCAAATCTCATCTCATCTTCATACAATGGAAATGTCATATATGGGTGAAGCTCTGGACTGGGTGAGTTATCTTCTACACATCCCCCTTAACCTTCTCTCAAGTTTTGAGATCATCAGACATAGCAGAAGATATACAATGTGTTGTTATAATATCTGAAGTAGCTGCCCTGGCAGTCTTTGTTTGTAATACCACCATCTACAAAGCATAGTTCTAAATCGGCAAAAATGTGCATGTGCAAGAAAATGAGAGAGAGACTTGTTGATATTCAAGGTCGAATTTCAAATATTCATCATCACAGTTTTAGACCATATCTGCTAAGCTCTTCAGATTCTTCACAGGTTTGCCATTAAAAGCAAGAACCTAAATGAGAAAAAATAAAAATAAAAAGAGGAAAGTTGCTGACAGGCTTGCCTTGAAGGCATTTCATCAATTGTATACCATTAACTATGTTGCGTAACATATTTCCTCACCTGAGTATTGACAATCTCCTCATATCCAATATTAATGTCAGCCACAAGCACCTGATGAAAAATAAGGGAGATGATGAAATCTGTATTTCAGGGAATGAAGAGGATAAACTGCCGTTTAAATGTTCATATTAAAAATATACAGGAGGCAGGGACCTGGGATACAACAAGAAGTTGTTCATCTATAGATTCTGCCATTGCATGTAGATGCTTATCCAATAGTTTGACTGGAGCGTCACACTCGTAATCCTTGCCATACTGAAGACAAGATCAAAGTCACCAAAGTCAAATGTTAGTGACCAGCAAAAGCCAACTACTTCAGAAAGTAGACGATGAAAACGCTGAGACAGTCTTCAGCATAGAATAAAGGAATCGAGATTGCCCACCATGTTTGGATGGTTAACAAAAATGGGAGTAGATTTCAAATCCAAAGGTGTCTAAATTTTGGCTTAATAACTAGGCACAAAGTTTGCGAAAGAACTGGTAAATAACTCTTTGGTCAAGTTAGAGAAAGAAGGACACAGTACATTCTGCTCCCCCCTCCCAACAGCACATACACTCAGACCCCTCCACACACTGACACATACTGAGGGAGAGGGAAAAGGAAGGTTTACTGCACACCTCAGAACGCAAATACGGGACAGTTACAGCTGTGAAAACAAAACCAGCAATGATATGGTATGAAGGTGGTTTCCCATTGGTGTGTACAGGGATAAGCCTATTGTGTGTTGAGAGTTTTATGTTGAATTCAAGTATCTTTGAATTGCGGAGAACTTTAACCACAGCAGTATCCCCAGTATACTTCTGAGAAACAAGATAACTAAAAACTATGCACTCCCCAAGCCACAATGGAACTGAAAATTAATTGAAAAATAAGGAAAATATCAAGACTAGTTTTTAAAAGAAAAAGTTCTCATAAGGATACCATAATATTAAAAAGAAAAAAGCCATATACTGCTTCCAGTAACAACTTACAAACTATCAAGTTGAACTAGAAATGTAAAATTCCCTGTTCCATCATTAGCAATATTTAGACCATCAAAGCTGAGGATAATGTCAAATGACTTCAGAACATGAGATTCTGAGCTGTTGGCTCAATTCTTCTAATATGGACCCCCTTCTGATCAGATTTCATTCCCATTGCCATGTGAAAATCAGGATTTTCCATCTTTTGCCACTCAACTCCAAGGATTGGGAACCCTGAAACAGTGTAGAAGGTCAAAGAGGATAAGAAAGGAGGAAGATATCAAGCAAAATAAAATATCCATGAGGCTACACCCACATTCACATTCTAAAATCAACCTTGCAGAGTGAGAAATAGAGCTAAAAATTACCTGTATATATCCCATTCTTTTCATAATCCTGAATGAAGTGAATGATAACTGGTGTGGGTATGACATAACCAATATTCTCCACATCTTCAAGTATCAAAGATTGAAATGCAATACCTACACTTTTACCCTTATCATTGAAGGCAGGTCCACCAGAGTTCCCAGAGTTTATAGCTGCATCAATCTGCAAAAGCATATAAGCATCTAGATAAATCAACAAATTACATCAAGCAAACATCTCACAAACTCTAGAAGACAGAACTTCAATTTCACCTGTAATCCCAAAAGTTCAGTTGAGCCGTGGGCATAAGATAGTATCCCCATGCGCAACACAACACCACTAGTCACAGATATTGTGTCACCACCAACTGGGTAGCCAACAACAGTTACAGCATCCTGTAGTGCAGGCAAATCTCCAAACTCCACAGGTGATACCCCTTCCCAAAACTCATCATCACTAGCTGTCAACAAAGCTGTAGCCTAAAAATGAAAAACAGAATAATTTATGAATTAATCTACCAGGGAGCTCAACAAACCTACATAAATATATTGATTTCAACTTCTGGTACTCCTTCATATTAGATTATTAGAAACAATTTATAAGGAATAAATATGCCAGAAAGAAAATGAATCATATAGATTAGTATAATCGACCAAAAAAGTTCCTATATGGGCCAAGCCTTTCTTTAGAAACAAGCAAATCCAACAGGTAACCTTGTAATTTGTAAATACATACCATAGATGGTGAAAAACTAACATGAATTGCTAAATTTTGAAATGGCATAGACTAACAGGGTTCACAGAACACCCCCCCTCCCCTCACACAATACCACCGTACCAGAATGATCGAAATCCCAATCTAGTATCACCATTTCCTAACCATTTCAAAACAACATAATCAGATTTGCTCAAATGTAACAAACCCAAAAGAATGAACCATTTTTTCAAAGAAATGTTGCATTCTGCTCATCATTCTACTGATTTACACACATTCCAAAGAAAACACTAAACTCAAATTTCACATGCCAACTTTCAGTCACTGGTAACCAAAAATGCTACCAATTTCCCACCCATTTCACTAATCACAATGATAAAAATCATCACTTTGACTTGGTCCAATCTCTCAATGGTAGAATGCACCTCCCAGCTTCATAACCCAAAAGGAAAAACCAAAAAAGCAGAAGAAAGAAATAGATTTACCAATATCACACTCATTCCCAATGGCCAGAACAGTTGCCAAGTACTTGGTATCGGAAGCACGCTTCTTCAGCTTCACTTGGGTGTAATACTCCATGGAATGAGCATTCGTAAGACCTCTCCTGCCACTAATGATAAACCCGCTACCACCGGAGCTGTACTGCGTCTTTCTTTGCCATGGAAGCGAGAAGTTGGGTTCAGTGTGCACGCAGAACACTTTCACTACAGCATCCATGACCAGCACCACTCTCGCCAGGTTCTCCCAATTCGCGGGGGACAGCTGCGGCTCCAAAAGAACGCCATTTGACGACGATGCTCCACCGTTGTGGAAAGGCCTCCGCTCTGGGGAAGCCACGTGCGGCTCCGTATCCTCTGCGTGGGCACTGGATTTTCTGGGTCCACCTCTGCCGTGGGAAGCAGGAGGCGGGTTGTTGTTGGCGGCGGCAGTTTCAGCGGCAGAGGGTGAAACACTCTCGTTCAGGTTGGTTGTAGAAACAGAAACAGAAACCGAGTCGGTTTGTGTGGCGGTTGCGGCGATGCATTGCGTCAGTGCATTGAAAGTCCATTGTTTCGGTGGTAGGCGGGGCTTTGGGTTTCCGGCATCGCTTCCTCTTCTCACCCTGATTCGTCAGAGGTTTTCTGAAACAAGAAAGTGAGAATTGGAAGAATTTTCAGCTCTTTCTCTGAAGCAGCTAAGTGGGAAAAGATGACAGGATGGAAGAGAAGGAATAAAATGGGTCTGATATGGGTC